TAAAACAGTGGTAAAGCCCCTAAGTTAAGCATGTAAACGGGAAAATGTTGCTTGTTTCCTCAGGGTTACTGCGCTAGCAAGTTTGCCGTGGTTGGATTCCATGAAGCTCTGAGCCATGAGCTGAAAGCCAAGAGAGTCAGTGGTGTGAAGACTACCCTCATTTGTCCATATTTCACGGACACTGGCATGTTCCATGGCTGTAGAATCAGGTAACGCTGCACTCAGTTTTGATGTTTTGTTTGTTCACTTTTTATGACTACTTTTGCTATGTTTATAGGTTTCTAATTTATATATATGTTGCAAGCCACCTTGAGCACGGTTTTGACTTTGGAAAGGGGGCATACAAATAACACGAATGGTTGGTTGGTTGACGTTCCAGCCTTTAACCTACATAAAATACCACCTCTGGTAACCAAGCAGGGCATCATCAGGACATGATGCCATCAGGGGAGAGGCTTCTTATCTCCCCAGGCCAGAACTCTGGCATAAAGTGAGGTGAACTCTACTCTAGACTGAAATCCCCTAGCACAAAATTCTCCTCCTATCGTCAGCTTTTGAAATTTAGTATATATTCATCTATAACAGGAGTGGCAAACAGTAGGCCTGGGGGGGTGAATGCAGTCTTCCAGGTGTGTGTGTGTGTGTGTGTTCACCTCTGGCTTTTGTGTGACTTACCAAACAAAGAGTCACCTCCATTGCACAAGTAGAAGAATTTGGATTTGATATCCCGCTTTATCACTCCCCTTCAGGAGTCTCAAAGCGGCTAACATTCTCCTTTCCCTTCCTCCCCCACAACAAACACTCTGTGAGGTGAGTGGGGCTGAGAGACTTCAAAGAAGTGTAACTAGCCCAAGGTCACCCAGCAGCTGCATGTGGAGGAGCGGAGATGTGAACCCGGTTCACCAGATTACGAGTCTACCACTCTTAACCACTACACCACACTGGCTCTCTGCCCAGGGGCATAGCTAAGCTGCTCTGGCGCCTGGAGCGGCATGGGCGGGGTGACCCGCGCATGGGGGCGCCTCACGGGGGCAGGGTTGTAATCTGCACATAGGGGCGCATCACAGGGGGTGCCATGGCAATCCATGCACGGGTGCCCCACAGCGATCCGTCCAGGGGGGTGGTGTGGCAAGCTGCCCATGGTGTCCGCCTGGTGGATGCAAGCCCCACACTGCCGTTTCAGGCAGCACGGGGCCCCAAGCCACCGCATCACTCCCAGAAGAGATGCGTGGCTCGGGCGCGCTGCAGGCCAGGCCCCGTGGTAGGTGCCAACCCCCGCGGTGGGCCAATTTGTCACCCCCCCCCAGGGTGACACCCAGGGTGCGCCACATCCTGCACCCACCCCTTCCTACGCTCGCCTCTGCCCACTATTTTTGGCATGATACCCATGAGAAGATGCATCCCTTGGTTTAAAAAAGCTTCCTTACCCCTGTTCTGTAACTACATAGCTGGAGAAGAGTGATTACCACCTTCCCACGCTTTAATAATATTCAGTGTGATGCCTGAGGCAGAGAAAGAAGGAATGGAGAG